TACCTGTGATAAAACAGAACACACTGTCCCTGATGCCCAGACAAGGCCACCACAAGACTAAGCGCCTGAAGCACAGAATCTAAATGTCATTCGTAGGCACTGATACTTACTCCAATCCCATGATGCTTTTTTTGACCTTTGGAAACACTTGTAAATGTTAGTGGAAACAGCAGTGTCTTACTTATATTTTGAAGCTCTTTCAAGCTCTTTGAACTCGAAAATCTTTGGCATAGTCAAGGTAGAGTTCATTGATAGAGAAAATTGCAGCAGGTTGTATAAATTTGCTAAACTGACTTTCTTTCACGTATTTAGAATTAAGGCATACTTGTTCCAGACCGGAGAGCCAGAAATGCTCGTTGAAAAAGTGCAGACCAGGCTTGGCTGCACTTGTGGCCATGTGCCTATTGTTTATTTTGGAGTAATTGGAGTTTTCTTTATGGTAGTGATTTTTTTTATTAAGGTATTATTGATATACACTCTTATGAAGTTTTCACATGAAAAAACAATGTGGTTGCTACATTTACCCATGTTATCAAGTCCCCACCCATACCCCAATGCCGTCACTGTCCATCAGTGTAGTAAGATGCCACAGATTCACTATGCGCCTTCTTTGTGCTACAGTTTTTCCGGCTTCACAGTAGTGATTTAAAAGACACGAGGTGCTTCATTCTAGATGCTCCTTTCCATCTCTCTTAACTGTCTACTCCCATGTCTCTATCCAGGTGGCACCTCCAGATTCTTGGATGAAAATGCCATCCAGGAAACCATTAAGAGAAGAAAGGGACTGAGTCCAGGGGCAGCTTTTGTCTTGAGGGTAAAACAGTTCCGTTTCTACACATGCAGGGACAGGGGCCCAGCCTGAGCTCTCAACTGGAGGAAAAAGGAAGAGAAACTTCTGCCTTGCTCACAGATGTTTTCTGACCCTGTCACTAGTGAGCCAGTGGGAACGGCCACTGCTAATAGACCCTCCAGGTGGGGCCTGCCAGGTGTGCAGGCCCATCCAAGGACAAGCCCCTGGGCCCACAGCTCTGCTCTCTGCTGCTCCTGAAGCAAGCATTGCCTCGCTGTGTGACTTGGCTTCCTTGGACTGGAGGCTGCAGGGGGCTGACTGCCTGACCCAGAGGCAGTCATCAGCAGGGGCCCGGGGGCCACGGGAGAACGTGGGGCAAGCATTCTCCTTGTCTGGGAAACTTGATTCTTAGCAGTGACTTGCTAAACCAATCAAATCCTCTTGTTGAGAAACTTCAACCTGAGACACAGAAATTAACCTCACAGTATCTGAGAAAGTTGAAGCAGAATTGTGGGGAGAAGGAAACAAAGGTGTGGGTGATGTGTACTTCCAGAGTGGCTGTTGGGTCGTCAGAGCGGGTGCTGTGGACTGGCCATGAGTGGCACCCATTTCTCCATGGTGGTGGTCTCTGGGAAGATCTCCAGCCTTAGCTCTCCCCGAGAGCTAAGGATCTAGTATGGGGGACCCTGAAGACAAACCAGGCAGGTCTCTTCCCTGGAGGGATATGTGACCCTAAAGGTGGGGAGGGGCATCAACAGAGAGAAGGAAGGAGGATCTGCTTGAAGGAGCGGCCCCACCTGTCTCAGCTCATCTCCAGTCTTCCTGGGCTGGACTAGGAAAACATGAAATTATTTGTTAAGCACACAAGTTACTGCCCACAGAGAGCTGTATTATTCTGTGGGTAGGAGCCTTGCTCCAAGGAACAGATTCTGGCAGAGACCTAGCTCCCACTTCCTAGGGGGGATAGAGGACACTGAGGCTCACAGATACTCTATGTGGGGACACCACTGGATGGTGCCATGGTGGCTGGAATGTGAACCGTGAGTCTGGGGGTTATCAGAGCCTGCCTGCAGGCTTACATCTGCACCATTACTCTCATCTTTGATCAAACTTTATGCTACCCTGAGATCCAGGATGGTGAGACGCAGAAAAATACGGGAGAAATCCAAAAGTTCATTCTCAGCCTGAGTCTCTAAAAGTTCCCTAGCTCCTGTCAGAAAAGATGGGCGAGGTATATGATAGGCACACTGGTCTCAGAGGTCCTGCGTGTTGGGGGAATACTAGCATTTGGGGCTGGAGTGGCAGACTGGCTCATGCCCGGGAGAGGAAGCAGGGAGACCAGCTGTGGGTGGGCTGGGGTTCCCCGCGCTGCGGGCTCAGCAGGCAGGCGTGCAGGCCTTCTGCAGCAGCTGCCTCCATGTCCCCCTGCCTTCTGTGTGGCCGGCATCCTCAGCATGTAGCTACTACTGCTTCTCCACACCTGGGTTTCTGGAGAAAAATGGTGTTTTCCAAAGTGGTCTCTGTGCGCAGGGAAATTCTGTTTACCAGGTGCTCCCATGGTCCGTGTAGTTAGTGAAGCTTGGCTAACAGAACTGACTGGGATTCTGGAGAATATGCTCAGTGACTCATGCTGGGACCCCAACATCGTGGCAAGTGGAAGCCTGATCTAATGGTTTGTGAAAGGATCTGTAGAGTAAGTTTCATAATGCTTATAGTCCCTGAAGTCTCAGAATAAGTCACATCATTTTTCTTTCTGAGGCACCCAATCTCTGGTCACCTGTCCTCACAGCTCCTTCCTTGTTTTCTCTCATAATGTCACTGCTCCCCAAAAATCCAGCAGAGAAGAGAAACTCAGTTCCTTAAGCTCCAATTTGTTGCTATGGGGCAATCAGCAGAGCATCCTTTACCCAAGAAAAGGCTTGCACGGCCACCTGCTGGACACTCCGAGCAGTGCAACCCAGATCAAACGTGAGCTCATTGGCTTAATAGGCATCGGGCTTCACGCTGAGATAGCAGGGGTCACAAAAAGACTTTCAAAGGAGGGCTCAGAGTTCTCACTGCCCAAACTGTGCGTAACTCTCTCCTGGGGCGGACAGGCCTGGGCGCGTGTGGACAGGGTTGCTACCTACTGCCCTCCTTCCTGCCCTGCCACTCTCCTTTTCGAGACCCTCAATGCTAGAGGCAATGTTTGTGTCCCCCACAAATTCTTACACTGAGACCTAATCCGTAGGTGAAGGATGTATCGTGGGGGTGGGGGGAGGCCTTTGGGGAGTGAGTAAGTCTTGAAGGCACTCCCTCGCCCCTTCTCCATGTGACAGCACAGGAGAGATCAGCCTTCTATGAACCAAGAGCACGGCTCACACCACACCCTGAACCTGACAGCACCTTGATCTTGGATGTCCGGCCTCCAGGACTGTGAGAAGTACGTATCTGCTGTCCACAAGCCACCCGGTCTATGGTAGTTACAGCGACCCGAACAGACTAAGACACTCAGTGCCAGGCATCATTCTAAGTGCTGTATGTTTATTAACTCTTTAAAAGCCTCAATGCTCCACGCAAAGGAGGAATTTGATTACCACAGTGTATTATTGCAGAATGCCTCCTTAATCAAGGACACTCATCAGTTGCATATTTTGCATCATTTCAAGAAACGAGGTAGAAAGTGCTACCTTCTGACAGCATATTTCCAAGTAAAAGTGTTTTACATCAAGTGCAAATTTTATATTTTCTCAACTTTTATTCAGATTTGTAGCAGAAACATTTTCATTAACTTCTGTTAAATGATGATGTAACAGTGAAACACTTGACGTCTCTGCTTTTACATTCTCTGTTTCCTTTGGTGCCTCAATTATTGGGTCAAAAAGCTTCTGCTCAGCCTTGCGGCCCTGCACCCAGGCTTGTTAAGCATCAGAAGGAATTTTGCTCACAGCTTAAGATTGATGCAAACAGCCCCTTACCCAAGACTCCTCCCCCAGGAGATAAGGAAGTATGGACAAAGTGACGACTGGGTTGTCAAGGACGTGTAAGAACATCACGGCCAGACTTATCAACAAAATGACTGGACTCAACTGGCCAGGGACAAGGAGTTTCACACCCTCCTCAGGCCCTTGCTGGTTCCCGGATGTCTGAGGTTGGTCTTCACCTCCTGACCTCCGCCCTCTCCTGTTCCCCTCCTTCTCTAATATCAAAGGAGCTTGAAATCACATCCTGAGTTAAAGATGATGATATGGGACATTAGTATGATATCTTGGTCTGCTGATTTTCTGAATAAAATTGCTTTCTTGGTCCCAACCCCTTATCTCTTGACTTATTGGTTCGTCATGCAGCAAGTGGAAGGAGACTGGACATGGTAAAAATTATTAGGTGCTGTAACTTCATATTTACTTTTACCTGGACCCAGGCTGCCTCCTTGTTCTTACTTACAACCAGCTTCTTTGATCATTATCATCACCACATGTCTATAAAATTTTGATGAACTGAATGGTAATGTGTTATGGATTCTTCTATAAATCACCTTTTTGCTGTATTTTTCACTGAACCCTGTCTTATTCCAGCAATGATCTCATTTACAAATTAATTCATATACTGTCTTTTATAGATACCTTAACTAATTTTTTTAAAAAGCCCAATAGATATGATCAAAGGATACATTTCCAACCCATTACTTTTACTATCTAAAAATTCCTTACCAAAATGTGTATTTAAGTAGGTTTTATCTATTATGTACTAATAATAATTGTAATGAGACTTTAATCCAAAAAAATGTTAAGAGGTTTCTAGTTACAGGAAAGTACATATTAACTTTTATACATACTCTGTTGCACAGAAATATGATGGAATCATCAATAAAAGACTATTAAATGTTTAGTCAAGAAAAGAATATAAATTATTAAAACGTCGCAATTTGACAAAATTCTCGGAGGCATATTGATGTAAATAGAATTTGGAAGGGAAAACAAACCTTGTAAATTTGCAGGGAGGTGATTTTATTTTAAAATATTTACAGTGTGGAAAATTATGTCCTTTGCAACAATAAAACATGTATTTTAAAAAAACGTAACGGGGACAGGGACTCCGGGGGAGCCTCACATTTAAGATTGATGCAAACAGCCGCTTACCCTAAACCCTTACCCTAAACCCCAAGGCCTGCGGTTCAGAAGGTGTAGTAGGGGGTCCCCCTCCTCGGACCCACAGCCTTCTAGGATCCCACCGTGGAAGCACCGGGCCTGGGCCACGCGGGACCGAGCGTGAAGCACGGGTGAGGCCAGCGCCCGCCGCCGCAGCCCCAATACCCTCGCCTCCACGGAGTCTCGGGCCCTGGGGCGCGCTGGGGCGCGCGCCACACCCCCTAACCTCTCAGCCCCACCCCGCCCGCGCCGTGGGGGCGGGGCCGCGCCGGGCGACGCAGCTCTCCGGTCCCGGCCGGGGACGCGCGGGTGGGCGGGGCGGACCCGCGCCGGGGGCGTGGCCAGGGCACGTGGTGCGGAACAGACGCGGAGGCTGCGGGCGGGTAAGTGGTCTCTCCCCAGCTGGGAAGGGCCGGCCGCGGAGGGGAGTCCCCGGGGTAGGGGGCGGTGGTCTGCGTCCCTCTCGGCGTCCGGGCGCTGCCCCGAGGCTGGGGGCGTCGGGCTCGAGAACCAGGTAGGCGGGAGCAGCGCAGGCCGGGCCGGCCAAGGACGAGGCCTCCAGGGGCCCCGCGCGCGAGAGCCCAGCCCCAGGGGGTAGCGCGCCGCCTGGTCCCCGTGGCCGGCCGGGGGCGGGAAATAAGGGTGACCCGGCTGGAAGAGGCGCCCAGGGCTGTGCGGGAGGCGGGGAGCACGCGGAGGGCGCGGCCAGGCATCCTCCCAGGCCAGGCCCGCGGAAAGCCCGGGCCTGGGGCGGGGTCTTGGGCTGGTGTCCTGACCCAGGCGGGGTCAGAGGTCGCTAGCTCCCGCCCGCAGGGGAGGCGGCGGTGACCTTGAGCCCGGGTCGGCCTGCGCGGACTTGGGCGAGACCGTGACCCGGCCTTCCCTGCTCCCGGAGGTCCTGGCGAGAGAGGCGTTTCAGAGCTGTGTGTCTGGGATAAAGCTCTAAACTGGGCAAGCTGGGGATTCTCTTCCCTGTTTTAGTGGGTTTTACAGATTTTAGCCAAGATACGGGTTTGTTTATTGATACAATCCTTGAGTTAATGAGGGGCAAGGATGGGGACGCTGGGAACTAGAAGAATGAGTTGCAGGTATTGTCGATGGCTCCAGGTGCCACCAGTGTAATTTTTCCTTCCCTTCTCACTAGTTTTACTATTTAAGTTACATTTCTCTCCAAGAACCTTCGATTTCAAGAGGGTAGTGAGGCTGGCGTTTATTTTGAAAGGGTAAGATTTGTTTCTGTTCACTCCAACACAGTGCTTTTACCTTGATAAATGGGGTTCGCCAGGGCATTTAGAACTGGTCCCGTTTAATGGCTCGGGTAGCGGGATGGGTGGGAGCTGGAATGACCCACGACTGAAGGGGAGAAGGGACCTGGCCTGACTTGGTGTCCCATCAGCCTCCGCCTGGTTAGTTCTGCAGAGAGGCAGTCGCTGTTTATTCCTGTCACTGGGCAGTGGAGAGCTGACGAGTCTGGGCTCTGCAAGGGGGCAACCTAGTTATCTTTGAGTGATTTCAGCTGGAAGGCTATTGAGTAGTTTATCTGCAAAGAAAAATATAGCAAAAAGACTAGTGCCACAGTGAGCTTGGGATTTGTGGTATCTCATGACCAGGAACTCAAGGGGAAAGGGCCCAGTGTAGCACGTTGTTCTAGAAGCATCCCTTTTTATGTTTTTGGTGATGGAATAGATGAAAATTGGTCTCCTTAATGCTCATGAGGTGCCTCTGCAGCATTCATGGACCAGCTTCCTGGGCTTTCAGATGAGAGCCTCAGCTGAAACTGAGTTTGGTAAGCATTTTACACTCTGTTCAGGGTGTTGGAAGAGGAGAGAGGAGGCACTGAGAACTGAGTGGTTTGATCCCGTTCTTACAGAAACCACTGCCCAGGCCCGGTCACTTCCTCAGTCTGTTTAACACCTGCTGCCCTTTATGTCCAAGTGGATTCTGTCTCCTCTATTTAGAAGTCACTTTGGGGTCCCGTACCAAGGGGCACTCCAACCGTAGTGTCAGTACGACACACAGGCATTCATCTGGTGTCCCACTTGAGAACCATCTAGATGTGGTAGGACCTTGTCCCGCTGCAGCTCCACGTCTGAAATACTTACTGTCACTGTGGTATAGCTGAGCTCTTTCCAGCTACTAAGTTCTAGCCTCGCCGTTTGATTGAATTTGAAGTGTCAGTTGAAGGAAGAGGAGAGAATCAGTTTTCAGAGTCCCAGTACCAGAATCATTTTTGTTTTATATTCATTCCACATTTTAAAGATGTTCAGTCACATGATTTCTTTTCCCCTGTATTTATAAAATGGAGCAGAATGTGTTGGGTCTCACATGGGAAACTGAAAGTTAGAAAATGCACTTTGGAGGGAAGCTGTGGGTTCCTGGAAGTTCATCTTAATCAGGCCTTGGGGAGGTTTTATATGTTGCCTTTGGCTGTTTTTGGACTCGGATTATCAACTTTTGAACAGAATCTGTTTCTCCTTGTGCTTTGTTTGCGGTGTTGTGGATTTGTGGCCTTAAGAGACAGGATGTGACATTTTTGCTGGGATCTTGGGAGGGATTATTTACTCTGTGGTAATAGTAAGTGGAAAGTTCTTTGTGTGATTTAAGAGAATAAAAATAAATCTAAAAAACTGTTTTAAATGCTGGTAAGTCAGTGTTACTGGGAAGTACCTTCATTTAATTTTCTTCAGATTGTCTTCAACTCAGGCCCTTCCTGCAGTTTCACACAATTTTGTGTACATTTTCCTTCTGAGAAAAGAGTGGGAGTTCAAGCTGAGCCTCACTGTTTCTCAAGGCTGTTTCTCTGCACTGTGGCCACTTCCTGGAAACCTCGTGACAGCCTTCAGGGCGGAGGAACACTTTATGATCCTGAACAAGTGCCTTCCAGTCCCTTCAGTTGGCCCCTGTCGAGTCAGGACTGACGGGTTGTTGTCCCTTCCAGGAACGTCTGAGGTCTGCGGTCTGGCTGGAAGATGTCTGCCCTCACTACCCTGTTTAAGTACATTGATGAAAATCAGGATCGCTATGTTAAGGTGAGGGACTACTTATTCTAGTAAGCATTAAAATTTGGTTTAATCATATGGGCTCAGAGGAACTTTCAAGAAACTAGTGTGAGTTGTGCCAGTTCAGTCATACTAAAAATATTGTCTAGTCAGAGAAAGACAAAAGCTGCGGGGTCTCACTTATATGTGGCCTCTAAAAAAGTTGAACTTGCAGAAGCAGAGAGTAGGATGGTGGTCGCCAGGGGCCGAGGGTTGGGGGAATTAGGGAGCTGTTGGTCAAAGGGTATAACTTCCATTTCTAAGAGGAATAGGTTCTGGGGAATTTAATGCACAGCTTGGTGACTAGTTATTAATATCGTGTAGTACTTGCAAATTGGCAAGAGAGTACATCTTAAGTATTCTTACCCTAAAGCTGGTAATGAGAGTGTGTGTGTGTGTGTGTGTGTGTGTGTGTGTGTGTATAGAGATCTTTTCCTCTGTCTCTTCATTATAGTATATGTTAGACTTTTGGCTTTGACAGAAAGTCGTAATATATATTTTTAGAACTAGAGCTAATCTGAGATTTTTGTTTAATCTCCACGTACAGTTTCTTATAGTTACAGATTAAAGAACTATTTTGCATGTAGCACATTTTAAATGATTCGGTAATGTTACATATTAATCTGTTTCTTGACATTAAGTTGAAGAATCACATCTTGAAGTTATTCCTGTGGACTCATTTCAGGTGAAACCTTTAGAGTTTACATTATAAAAATTATACTTTAGAGAACTTGGCTGTTCTCAGGATGATAAGTAAACTAACTTGGTCTGTGAAAATGTTGGGTATTTTTTGTGTCTTTCAGTTGTAATTTGTTAGATTCAGGTGTAAACTTACTGATTAAACTTTGTACGGTTCTTACCACATGCTTAATGTTTAAAGTACACATTCTAACATTTTTGTTATGCTGTAGTTCTAGGTACAGGGTCAGTAAAAACAGTTTTTTTTAAGCTTAAATAAAAAGCAAATGTGATGGGGTTTTTTTTTTTTGTATCTAGTCAATGTGTTCAAAATGAATTGGCTACAGGTAGCAAGCCAACCTGGGATGCCAAAACATGGCACACTTAGGAATACCTTTCTCCCTGAAGGACTGCGTTCTCAGAACCCCTTTTTGCTTGTTATCCACAAACAGAAACTTGCAGAGTGGGTGGCCATCCAGAGTGTGTCTGCGTGGCCTGAGAAGAGAGGCGACATCAGGCGGATGGTGGAAGTTGCCGCCGCGGATATCAAGCAGCTGGGCGGCTCTGTGGAACTGGTAGATATTGGAAAACAGAAGGTATGAGTCTGGGGTCTTGGCACTGCAGAACCACAGAAAGATTACGTCTGAGTCGCTGATAGGGCTCAGCAAGGTCTTAAACCATCTTTTGTTGCAGGTAACCTGCTTGACGTTAAAACAAATGGAAAGGCTTGGTTTGTATTCTAAACTCTGTGGTTTCTTCAGTTGGACTGGGACAAAGTTTTTGTGACACTCAGCATTTTCTCAGGAAGGAGAGCTGTTGAGTAAGTTAATGTAATGGCCATTCATAGAAAATAGCTTGCGATTCCCCCCAAAATCAGTCTGTTTTCAAACCAGGAGGTTATACACTCTCCATGTAGATGTACAAATAGTGTAAATAGAAGATTCTCACTCACCATACTGTGTCCCAGTGGATAGAAACACTGGTAGAAACACGCTGCATCCCAGTTGGTGGGAACATGCTTTTGCATGACTTGGGTCTGGAAGAAGCTTCCTTGTGATGGGTCTGTGAGCTCGGCTGCGTTTCTGTGCAGATTCTGACAGGTGAAATTCGTTTGTTTTCTTCCTAACTTAAGTGAGCACCCCTCATGATACAGCGTTCAGATGATTTCGGTCTTAACGTTAATGACACGTTTCATGGCGTGTATTTGCAAAGTTTCCCATTTTTTTTATATTGCAGGCTGTGACGAGGGTTGCTTTGCCTTGGTTCTCTTGCCTGCTGATAAGAATATTAAATCATAGTTCTGGGATTCTCCGAGTGGACATTCAGCTCATCTCGTCTACTCTTTTCATAAATGGGAGAACTCAGAGGCGTAGGTGGGCTGTGTCTCTCCTGCGAACCCAAGCCAGTTCATGGCGAAGGAAGCCAAAACCTGGGCCTCCTGATTCCAGTCCAGTATTGTTCGAGATGTCCTCTGACCACAAATTTGATGGTTGACTTCAGATACATTACAGCCTCCCAGCGCTTCTCCCCATTCATGAGAGAAGAAGCAGGTTTCTTTGTATTATTTCCTTTTAGGAGCATACTTGCTTCCCCTCCCTTTATTCACGAGAGATTTTTAAGAAATCTGGATGGCAGGTAATTTTTATGGGCTATTCATTGTAATAGATTGCTTCTCTTTGATACTGACATTGTGGTGCAGTTCCACAAAAGACAGGTGACCACCACTCTGAATTACATAGCATCCATTTTTAGCAAGGACTTGACAGGTGTCGTCACTGTTGGGAGTGCAGCAGCGGGTCTCGCAGTGGGAGCCAGGAGCACGTCTCATCTCTTGCCGTCGCTTCGCTGGCAGTGGTCCATTCTTTGGGACGCAGATGACTTGGGGCAGGGGTGGAGGTGCACTTGAATGTGATTGTGCTCGCAGGAGCTGGTGCTGCCTCAGGCTCGAGGAAGAAAGATGACACTGGGTCTTCCAGGTCCTGCGACGGACATCGGAGCTTGATTCTGCAGGGGCGAGGCTCAGGGGGCAGGCACTGCCTGTGGGAAGGGCTGGTTTGGGGCTACTTGCTATAAGACCTGTGCACACATCAGGACAGTCCTGGCTGCTGCCAGATGGTGGGTTAGAAAGGGCGCCTGGTCATTAGGTGTGAGACTGGATGCTGAGGGCCTGACCTCTAGACAGAGGAGCTCAGGAGATGGGACGGTCATGGCTCCTGGGACCAGAGGTGATGTGTGGGACGAAGTTAATGCACAGGGTGGAGGAGGGCCCACTGGTGCTAGGCTGGGAGTGGGGTGAGCATGATGGCCATGGGCACGAGCAGAGGGAGAGCAGAATGTGGACTCGTCAAAGACTGTTGCCCAGACAGATACTCCAGTGAGGACAGCATGTGTCTTTGTAAACACTCGACTTTCTCTGCAGGCTGTATTCTTTCATGTTCAAAATAGCTGGGGATGCGCAGAGAGGGGATTGTGGTTTGCAGCATGAATTTCGGCACAGACTGCCCACGGGCCCAAACAGCTTCTTTAGAAAAATGCCAAAGTATTTTAGAGGAGCTGTATTGAGTAGAAAATGATTAGATAAAATCTTTTGTCATTTAAAAATAATTTTCCTCCTGAGGCCAGCTGCGGGCTGGCTGTGGCTGCTGCACAGGTCCTATGTGATCAGACAGTGAGAGTAAGGGCTTCACCCGTGGTGGCTACGGGCCGTTCTTGTGAGAACCGCCATGCAGGGGTTGTTTGCCTGTGTGGGCACCTCTCTTCACCCTGTGCGTGGGCACCTGTGTGGTTCTCTGCGGTTACTGCATTGGAGTGTGTGTGAGTAGAGTTTCCTGGAAAGACAAATGCTGTGTCTTGCAAGAATTCCAGCAACCTGGAATGTTCCCCAGTGTCTATGTGCACTTAGAGACGCTCGCAACACCTGGGGCTTGGGGAAGGACACTTTACCAGCTCATCACCAGCCTTGTCCTGACTTGCTTGTCCCTTGTAGTTGCTCATTTTACCTTAATGGCAAATTGTTAGTTTAGCTTCCTGACCAAGTTTAGTTTGTGTGTTATGTTTATTAATGTGTATTTTCATACAGTGTATTTTCCAGTAACTAGACTAACCCGTATATGTGTGACAGTGCTAATGTGAGTAACCAGCTGAAACAAAGGGATATGTATGTACTTTATACCCTTTCAGCGTTTGTAATGTGTTCTTATGTAGAGGTTTAAAAAAAAATCAGCCTTTAAAAATTTACCAAATTACATGCAATAAGTAAATGTCATTTAGTCCATGTGCTCTGGATTATAGGAAAACAAATTCTTGTGAATTAGTGACATAGTTGAACAATATAAACTCCATAGTAGAGGATGATTAATGAGAATAAGAATGCTCAAGGTATTTTAATAATATCTGCTTATAAACAAATTTTTTAAACAAAGTCTGCCCTCGGTTGCTTCCCTGTCAATTGTCAGCTCCCTGATGGCTCAGAGATACCACTGCCACCCATTTTACTCGGCAAGCTGGGCTGTGACCCACAAAAGAAAACCGTGTGTGTTTATGGACATCTGGACGTGCAGCCTGCAGCCCTAGAGGATGGCTGGGATAGCGAGCCCTTCACCTTGGTGGAGCGAGACGGTAAGGGACGCTTTTCTAGAGGAAAAGTCCTGTCATATCCAGAGAAGCATTTCTACTATTTTACTTCAGGAAGTACACTGACAGTCTCTTGGTTGTTATCTTTCCAGAACAAGTTATTTTTACCTAATCTAGAATTGGGTTCTGGAAGTTTCTCCCATGTGCTCCAGCCATTGAAACATCAGCAAGTTCTCCTTTGTTGTGGAAATGAAGTGTTTGTGTCCTGGGGTTCTGATTTTGGCCTTCCCTTCGCTGCTGACATTTTTTCAGAAAACCTGCTCTGATTTGAGTCAGCACTCATACCTGTGATCATACTTGACCTGCTTGTGGCTGCTTCCCGGTGTAGTTTAGCAGCTCCACCTGGTCATATTAGAAAAGCGTCTGACTCTGCCCACCCCCGCCCACCCTGGCTGGGAGCAGTAAGAACGGCTCGGTGGCAATCACTGATGCCTCCCAGGGGGCACTTCGGCCCTGCCAAGGCTGATCTCTTCTCTTCCTGACCCCTTCTGTTAGGAAGGTTCCTCCTGCCTTCACTTGTGAATTTTCATGTTTCTTACCCTACAGCACTGGCCAGCTGAGGAAGCCCCTTCCTTTGTACCTTGCCCCCCGGGGCTAAGTCTGGACTTTCTGTCATTACAGCCCTTCTGGTTGGACACACTGAGTTGCTGTTCAAATCTTTCCCCTGTTCACTGTCAGCTGTGTTCATGACTGTGTACGACTGAGAACCCTTTTTGCTTAAAGCAGCATCTGTGAGGGAGTCCAGTCCGATGTCACAGCTGTCACCACAGTGTGACTGTTAACCTGCCATCAGCTGTAGAACTGGGCTTCTGTGCACCCTGCATCTGGATGCCCTGAGCCTCGAGCCCACGTACCTGCTGGGCCGTTCCCCCCACCGCTGTGTGGAACAGAACTCTATGCTTCCCTCCCCAGCCTGCCCTTCCTCACCCCCTCTCTGTCTGTGCATGGCGCTGCCAACTCCCCCACCATGTGCCCCAGGATCCCGGAGGTCGTCCTGGTCCTTACCCCTGTGCCTGCAGGCCCCCCGTCACTGTCAGCTCTTCTGCCCTGGCCACCGCGCTTACCTTGCTCAAGGCCCTCCTGTCACTTGTTGAAGTCATTGAGTCCTTCCCAACTCTGCCTCGCCCGTGGTGGCCTTGTCTGCTGTGTCTCTGCTTGACACCTCTCGGGGGATTTGGTGGCACCCCTGACCTCCCCATCTCATTTCCCCTCATGGCTCTTCCTCCGCCCACACCATGTGAACACCTGCTTCTGTGCCAGCTCGGTCCTCCATGCCTCCTGCAAGGCCTCCCACAGCCCCTCGTCCATCCCACCAGACAGACAGACAGGGAGACAGCGATGCTCGGGCATGGATGGGGCAGAGATAGCTCCTCACGCTATGGATAAGCTTCCTTGCAAACACCCAAAGGCAGGCTGCGTCTCCTTGCCAGGGGAGCCCCGAGGGTGGGGACATGGTGCATCTGTCTTCACCCACCTCTCTCCAGCACCCTTCCACACTCCGCGGTTACCTAGTCAGTGTTCGTCAGAACAAGGATGCTTTTAGGAAAGCTTGTTAGTGTTTGCGAAAACTGGCTTTAGGCTATAAAAGGAAATTCCCAAAGAAATGATGGCTTTAAGCCTCATAATTCTTGGAACTGTGTCATGTTGAAACTGCTAAGTGTCAAAAACAGGGTAAGAGTGAGGGAGTCAGAGGACTGGCCAGGACAGGCAGGACAGAGAAGGCTGAGCCCTGAGCGTGCCGTGGCTGGGGGTCTGTTCTTGCTCTGCCCCCGTCTCTCTGGGCTGTGCTCCACATGTGTGCAGAGGGCCGGGAGAGGGCCCGGGTGTCTTTGCCTAGTCGTCATTCATGGTGGCCAGTGCCCAGCCAGACACCTACCTTTCTGGGCTTTTGGGGTTCCCAGAAGCGGGTGTACAGAAGGGAGGTACTGTAACTAATTAGACTGAGAAGCAGTACCCTGTCCTTTAGTCTTGGGATAACCTAGAGAAATAAATAATGAATGTAAGTTCTATTCTTTACTGCATGAGGTGTCAAAATTGGGGTGGGGTGAGGCTTATAGTTCCCTCTTGGTAATGGTGTACCGTGCGTACTGCAGATGACCAGGTTTTCCACCCTGACCGCTACCATCTGGTTCTGGAAATAGGAGCTGGGTCTGCGCAAACCCCAAACCAGCGGAACTGTGCGCTGGCCGACTGCCGCAACCCTGGGGAAAGGGGGATACCTGGAGGCATATGGTTGGCTCTCTGGTAAATTCTAACCAAAGTTTTGGATGGAGACTTGAGGCTTATTGGAATGAAAATGGGGCTTTTGAAGAGAAAGTCTTAGTGTGGCTGCCTGTAGCTGTGCTAAGCTGTTACCGGGTGTTCTGGAAAGACGCTATCCTTTCTGTTCTGTAGTTGTAACCGTGTGAATTTGCTGATTGTTATTACAGGCAAATTGTATGGGAGAGGCGCAACTGATGACAAGGGGCCAGTGGCTGGCTGGATCAACGCCCTGGAAGCCTTTCAGAAAACGAATCAGGTATTTCAGCCACAGCAGAGGCCTGGGCCACCTGCTCCCCTCTTAGCAGTACAGACAAAGCAGGGCTTTCTGTTGCCAGAGCAGCCTGCAGAGCTCGCAGATCACCGGAGTGCTGGACAGCAAGCTTCTTCCAAACTGTCAGCACGGTCAGGTCAGATTTAAGATCATAGAGTTGTTTTCCAGCTTTGAGAAACATTAAAGGTGTGATTGTTTCACAGTTCAAAGGTCACGCCGATGACTCAGCGGGAATCCAGCCCACAGGGAGCTGCGTTCTCAGGCCAGGCCCCACCTTGGAGAGCCCGGGGCGAGGGCCCCCGATAACACATAAGCCCCCGCTTCCCTGGGCAGCTGTTATCCTCCTAAAAGTGTACTTTGTTTTTAAAATATGTTTCCTTAGCTATGAAATATTAACTCCTTGTCAAGAGCTTGTAAGGTAGAAAGTAAAAAGGCGCCTAGAATCCCGGCCCTCAGAGACCTAGTATTTTGTGACTTACTGATCTGCTGGACTGTGTTTAAACTAGTTGTGATCAGCGTGTATAGACAGGTTTTGTTTCTTGCTTTTTGTCTTGTATCATGACAGAATGACAACGAGAAGCATTTTTGTCAGAGCACAGGCAGCAGGTCCGGGCAGGGTCCCGGCTCCTCTGTCTGGGGGCATTGTGCACAAGAGGGGGCCGGGCCCAGAGCCTCGGGCTGCTGGGGCCCTAGGACTGGGAAGGCCCCCCCCCTGGGGGGGGCCCTGTGGAGTCTGGGGGCGACCGAGGCAGGGGTGGCCATGTGCATCTGGTCTATTGGAGAGGTGGAGGCGGGGAGGTGATGTATGTAGTGGTAAAGAGTGCTGCCCAGGGTGGACTTGAGTCGGCACGGGGCCTGACATTCTGTCACCTGTGCAAGTCCCCTCGCTCAGGTGCAGCTTCATTTTCTCATGTGTGGAAGGCCCACCTGCCTTGCCACACAGCATGGAGGAGGCCTGGAAACAAGCTCAGGAGCCAGGTGTGCGGCAGTGTCTTAGCTACTGTTAGTTCCTGCGAAAGGGACTTGAGTGTGTGCAGCTAGTGCACCTGGAAGTAGGAAAGGGCCCCTGTTCACTCTTGTGTGCCCTGGCGGAAGCTGCATCGCACAAGCAAAGACTGGTTTTCTTTGTGTCGGGGCCTCTATTTCAGAGCAGCTGGGCTCTGGAGGTGCCGGATTGGCACCGGATGGGTGCAGAGGGCCTGGTGAGTGGGCTGTGTGCTCATGCTGGTGCCCTGACAGCCCAGAGCCTGGGGACGGGTCGCTGGGGTATGCGCAGCCTGCCTGAGGCATTGGCCTAGAGGAAATCTGGGGCTTGAAATTGGTGACTTCAAAACATGATGGCCTCCTCTCTGTGTTGTCCCTAAGAAATGACAGTGCCTGGAAGCTGAAGGCCTGCACACTTAATTATCTTCCACAGGAAGTTCCAGTCAATGTCCGATTCTGTTTGGAAGGCATGGAGGAGTCGGGCTCTGAAGGCCTAGACGAACTGATTTTTGCCCAGAAAGACACGTTCTTTAAAGATGTGGACTACATCTGCATTTCCGACAACTACTGGCTGGGAAAGACAAAGCCATGCATCACGTACGGTCTCAGAGGCATCTGCTACTTCTTCATCGAGGTGCCAGCCCCCCTGTGTGCTTAGTGGCTTTCCTTAACCCGTTGTCTTTCGTAGCCTGTGGCGGGCTTGTACCAGGTAGTGGGCCAGATGCTTGATGAGAAGCACAGGCCTGCCGGTGCCCCAGTTCTGACAGACGGAAGCCTTCATAATGTGCCAGGCCTGCCAGCGATCAGAAGTCAGTTCATACAGCTCCAGGCTAGGCTGGTCTTCTTTGTAGTATTGCCTTGGAGTAGTGAGAAAAGATTAAATGCCAGGCCATTCACCAAGATAGACATATAAAACATTTAAGATTAAAAGACCTCCTTTTAAAAGTTAAAAATGTTCGCACCTCAGCCCTTAAGCTCTTATCCCTCGACCAAGCAATCTTGGGAGCTGCAGCCTCGCTTAGACACAGAAGCTGAGGCTGGGCGGAGCGGGAGGGGCGGCCTGCTGGACCTGGCATCACCGGCCACCCAGCCGAGCCTCGGTCTCCACAGATAACGGTGGGGGCGCCTACCAGCCAGGGCAGCTGTGATGACTCCCTTAGTCCTGCATGGAGAGTGACTTACAGACAGAAAAGTCCTAGAAATGACATCACCCCACTGGGCACGCACTCTGTGCAAGGTGCCACCCTTGCTTTATGGCTTGGCTGGCACGGAGCACGGCAGCTGTGAGTTGAGAGCTCTTACTGTGCCGCGTGACTGGTGAGGGGCTCAGGCCGGCAGACTCGGGCAGCCTCTCCCTGGTCGTGTGGCTCGTCAGTGGTGGGGCAGGGCAGAGCCCAAGCCCGTGGGCTCTCGGCGGGCAGTTTCTCATGGCAGGTGTGGTCCTGTCAGTGGAACGGTGCAGGGTCTTTGTGAAGCTGGTAAAGGCTGGGTGCCTGAGGAGGTGCCCTGTAGCTTTCACCTGTGCCCAGCATGCCCAGCTCCCCCTGCTTACCTGCGGTCGCCATGCCCAGAAGAATTTTTTGGTTGCCAAAGTTTTATACTCTAGGAAATGCCCTGTTTTGCCTCTTGGGGGAGGAAATTTTGATTTGAAAATGGTCTCTCAGGTCTTGTGAATGTTCTTTGTTTAGTTGACTACTATGTGATAAGAACGAGCTCCTTCTGAGCAGCCAAATAGAGTGGCCTTTGCTCCCATCCAGGTGGAGTGCAGTGACAGAGACCTCCACTCGGGCGTGTACGGTGGCTCCGTGCACGAGGCCATGACGGATCTCATTGCACTGATGGGTGAGTATGGGTTTCAGTCACCACTCGGTGATGTGCGAGAAAAGTTGGAGTGGGCATACTTCCCGGCTGTCACCGCCATTTGGGGCATTTTCGTGTTCTTTGTGAGCCACTTCCGTCTTCCTAACTGGCCGCCTCCCTCCCCCACTCACATTCCCTCCAAGAGATCCACATGTCTCATTCCTGCCTCTCTCCCTTGCTTCCGCTCTGTGTCACCAAACCCTTCTTGGTCCCAAGACCCCCCTGGGAGTTCCGGCCCCAGGTGGCCCCGGGTGACCAGGTCCTGGACGCAGGCAGCCACCCTGCCCTGGACGCGGTTGTGCCCTCTCTCCCTTGGGGGCCTTGCTCCGGCCTGCTTGACGTGTGAGTGGCCGCAGCGGGGCCTGCCTGGCCCGCTCAGAGAGCGAGGACTCGCCCCGCCCGGTCCCCTTGGGCGCGAGGCTGGGCAAGCTCCTGCCTCACCGTCCGTTTGCTAAGCCTGTTTCCTTGCCTCGCAGGCGGCGGCTGCCAGTCAAGGAGTCAGGGTTGTTTCTGGGGCTGGGGTCTGCTCTGTGCCACCGGGCTTTCCGCCTCAGCTTGGGGCAGCTCATGTCTTGTGGAATGTGCATTAAAAAAGAAATGTTGGATAGTGGGGTGGCTTTTAGAGGAAGCCTGCTGAACCCGGTCTGTGGGCACGGACAGCTCACCCAGCCTCCGAACCTTGGGCTCTGCCTTAAATGGGCAGACACACTGCCCGCCTTGCTGCCTCGTCCCAGTAATGAAACGACCGCACAAGCGGAGGGGCGGCCTGGAGACGGCACTGCGGCAGTAGGCCCCTGGGCCCTCCTCGGTCTGTGGCTGCAGTCAGCGTAGCTCGCCCTCCCTGCTCTCCTGCAGGCTCCCTGATGGACAGGAGGGGGAAGATCCTCATCCCGGGCATCAGCGAGGCCGTGGCCCCTGTGACAGAGGACGAGCTGCAGCTCTATGACAAGATCGACTTTGACCTGGAGGAGTACGCCAGGGACGTGGGGGCGGACACCCTGCTGCACAGCTGCAAGGTGCTGGCTGCCCCGGGGCCCAGGCCTCCTGCCATGCCCTGCCCTGTCCAGGGGTCCCCGTGGGAAGGAGCCAGAGGTGCTGGCAAAATGTGGTACAGACACTGGAAAGCTGGTGTCACCACTAGGCTGGGAGCTGGGAAGTTTAAAAGCGTCCAGAGTTGACTTTTGACAACGTAGGGCCTGAGGAGCGTGCAGGCAGGAGACTTGGTGACAGGCAGCTTTTACCTTGTTTGCACTTCTGGGGTGATCTCCTCACCGCAGGCCCAGAGGTGGTGGAAGGTGTCCCTGACAGCCAGGCACGGGTGGAAACCATTTGCCCAGAGGTGTGCTTCCTTCTTAGAAAATTGTGTCAGGCCTTTTCCTTAATTAGCCTATTCCCTGGGTTATGAGGTTCTGGTTATATTTATGTCCAGTTTAGCCAGCATTAGTTGAAATGCAGTGGCAGGCCCTGATGTAAGAGAAATACAGCCTTTCGGCCCTTGAGTTCCATCTCTCTGTGTAAAAGAACATGCAGGGGCCACCCAGGCAGTCTAGAGCTCTGTGCCTGGGAGCGTGAGGCTGCTTGTCAGGGGGGAGCCTGCCGGGGACGGGAGGGACTGGGACTCAGGCAGAAAAGGCCTGATGTGTAGGCCTCTGTGGCCTCCCAGGGAGCTTGTCTGCTCTTCTGGAAGCCGACAGACAGGACTGGTTTGAGTGGAGGGTGGGCTGGTATGGTCTCGTGGACAGACTGTAGGCAGGGCTGCAGCTGGGTTGGCGCCGGTGCGGTGAAGGGGGTCACCGCTCAGGCTCCTGCAACAAGGAGAGCCTTGAGCTGGGGTGCAGACAAGGGCCAGGGTGCATTGGTCTCGGGGCACATCAGAGAGTTGATGGGACCAGGTGGAGTAAGTGTTGCAGGCAGAGCAGAGGGGAGGAGGTGTCGCTGGCGACAGTCACTCGGGGGCTGCTACTGTGGTTGGGCAGCGGAGTCTGGGGACGATAGGGCTGTGGGTGCACTTCTGTCCCCCCACGCTGCCTACCACCTTCATGTTGGCTTTTGTATGAGGTGTCTGCTTTGGGGGCCTGTGCGTTCCTTCCGTGTATCACCGAGCTCTCCGGTTCATGAGCAACAAGTCCATGTGCCAAGTGGCTGAGTCACTGTGAGCCCCAGGAGCCCCGTCCAGTTTCTCTGGGCCAGCCAGCCACCCAGTTGGCAGCCTGATCTCTCCTGACTTGTCCACTGTTGGGCGCCCAGGGCATGATTATACCTAGAGACACAGTAGGCCGCTTTGTGCCAGGCCCCCCAGCAGAGGGCATGACACCGGTCCAAGGTCACAGGCCAGGGATGCTGGTGGGGGGTTGTGGCTTTCCTCCCCAGCAGGCCTTGGAGGGATCGCAGGTGCCCGTCGGTGTCTCCCTGTTCCTCTGCTTTCTGGCTCTGCTGGTCAGTTTAGTTCACCTGCACAGTCTGGCTCTGGTGAGACGGGAGGTGCCCCCGTGAGGCTGTTAGGAGCACACCGAGCCCCCTCTGTGGTGACTGGAGCACCTCGGGGCAGGCTCACCTGCCAGCCGTGCCGGGCTCTGCGCCTCCTTCCCGGGCCCGCTGGTGACTAAGTGAATGTCCCAGTCAACATTCCCATGTCCTCATCGCACAGGGCCATCCCCTGACCATGTTGTTTTCTGCAGAAAGACATCCTGATGCACAGATGGCGGTACCCGTCCCTCTCCCTCCACGGGATCGAAGGCGCCTTCTCGGGGTCGGGGGCCAAAACCGTGATTCCCAGGAAAGTGGTCGGCAAGTTCTCCATCAGGCTTGTACCAAACATGACTCCTGAGGTGGTCAGCGAGCAGGCACGTGGGGCCGGGGTGGGGGTGTGGCGGCCGCTGTGCCACGGCTCTGAGCACACAGTCCAGGGGCCCCGCTTGGCTCTTGCCAACTCAGTAATTACTGGAAGAAGAAGGTCAGAAACTGATCAAAGATAAAGGCCTTATAGAAAGCATCACACAGAAGTGACCTTTGTCACAGCTGAGGCGTGCAAAAACCCGACCTCTGACCTTAGCCTAAGGTTTCACTTCAAGTGCTGACTTTGGGCTGAATATGTTAGGGTGAGAGTCCGAGGACGGGGGTGAGGAGTGGAAGGGAAATGGCAGAGGGAGCACATCCAGAGCTGCAGGGCAGCGGGCCCCTGGGAGCGGTCTGCTGCCCTCACCCGCGAGGTTGCTTGGGGAAGTGGGATCAAGGTCCCCCTCTTGGGAGAGGGGTTGTCACCAGGCACCCCTGCAGTGGCACCAGGCCTGTTTCTGGTCCAGGTGTGATCATTTTTATAAAGCAAGTCAAGGCATATTTTTTAAAAACTTGATTTAAAATATGATCAAATAAGAATATTTACATAAAGGGGGAATTGTTTGAAATTAAAGCATTACCTTCAAATAACTGGATTTTGTTTCTTGGTAAAATCACTTTTTCTGTTCTAGTTAAGCAGATTACTCTTCAGCAAAATGAGACCCCCGTAGACACTGTAGTGTAGGGTCTGCAGACCCTTTGCAGGTGTGTTGTGTGCTTGTGGGAGACCCACTGGAGACTTGAGAGCAGGTCACTAGCTCTGGACCAAATCAAATGCCAGGCTCACAAGCCTCGTGTCTCTTTGTGGTTCAGGTCACAACCTACCTGACTAAGAAGTTTGCTGAGCTGCACAGCCCTAACAAGTTCAAGGTGTACATGGGCCACGGCGGGAAGCCCTGGGTGTCCGACTTCAACCACCCACACTACATGGCTGGGAGAAGAGCCCTGAAGACAGGTCGGACATTGCCCTGGTGGGTGCGTGCCAGGGCGCCCAGCACGGCTGGCAGAGCTCTGTTGTATCGTGTGGGCACGTAGCTATGTGCCGAGGCCTTGCCAGGAGCCGGACGTGGGGCCGGGGTGTGCCAGCAGCCGCCTGGAGAGCAGCGGTGGTCCTCAGGCCTCGCACGGGGCCCAGACTCAGAGGTGCTGAGCAGTGGGTCCACGGAGGTCGCCAGCCTGGTGGCCCCAAAGCTTACCTGTCTTCTGCTCCCTTCTTCCCCAGTGTTTGGCGTTGAGCCGGACCTGACCAGGGAAGGCGGCAGTATTCCCGTGACTCTGACTTTTCAGGAGGCCACAGGCAAGAACGTCATGCTGCTGCCCGTGGGGTCGGCCGATGATGGCGCGCATTCCCAGAACGAGAAGCTCAACAGGTGGGGCGTGGGTCCTCTGCCCTGAGTCTGGGCTTGTTCTCCCATGGGCACCAATGAGAAGCCCTCCAGGCCCTTCCTCCTCCATGCCACCTCCTGTCCTGCTGCCAAGGTTGGAGAGCAGGAGGTGGCGATTTCTGTGACCGCTGCCTCTGGTGCCTTCTACCCCGGGGGTGGGAACCTCTGATGGAGGCGGGGAAGGGGCAGGGGGCAGGGCGGGTCATCAGAACAAGGCTCCGCCTGTGGTCTGTGGTTACCTCTGTACTTGGCCTGTGACTGAAGCTTCCTAAGGCGCCTTTACACAGTCGCGGCTTATGCAGTGGGAGGAGGGTTCCCTGAGCAGTGGGGATGGAAGGTGGTCACTCAGTGACCCCCGGGTAGGAGAGAGCCAGGCAGGCCGGGAGGACGGGAAACGGGCACTCCTGGGTAAGTGGGCCAGTTGGGGAATAAGAGTCAGAGACTCTCCTTGGAGACTAAAGGGAGGGGACAGAGACCTGGGAACTGGGAAGCGAGGCGGTGGCCTCATACCCAAACCAAGGGAGAGGCCAGCATCAAGGCAAGGCTCTTCCTAGGAACTGCTGGGGGAAGGCCTGCCTGGTCTGTCAGACCAGGTCCGGGCTGGTCCCTGGTGGCTCAGTCAGCCTAAACCTGGAGAATCCTAAAGGCACATGGAGCTGAGGGCCAGCGAGCCAGGACGGCGGGACGCTCCCAGGAGTGCCGCGCGTGAGCCCGGACCTCGGCACACCAGCCACCATGCCGCGTTCTTCTCCGGCAGGCACAACTACGTGGAAGGAACCAAAATGCTGGCCGCGTACCTGTATGAAGTGTCTCGGCTGAAGAACTGAGGCAGGCTTCCCACATGCCCCGCCCACCGCCCTCACTCTCCAGGTGGTGCAGGAAAGCAGAGCGCGTCTCTCCCCATCCCTTCGTTATCACTTGGGTGCCCAGGATGACGCGAGAGCATCACTTGTCTCGTGCGTGGAGTTACATGTGCTGCACAGTTAGAGGTTTTCAGTCCTGGGGCATTAATGGCCCCGAGTCACAGCCGAGTTCTCAGATGCTGTCAGCACCACCCAGTCTCGGGGAAGTAGCCCCGGCCTGGGGGGCACGAGCCCCGTGGGAGGTCCTGGCTGTCCTCCTGTGGGCCTCGCGGGGCCTTGGCGCGTTCTGGTCCATCTCTCCTGCCCGGCTCAGGGCCGTGCATACTGGGGATATTTGGTCAGGCACGTCTGACGCCTTGAGGGGCCCCCTCCTGATTACTGTCTGTTGTGCACATTCTGTCCTCCAGACGTCAGCCGTCACTCATGTGTCCTGTCTTCTCTTCATTGTGATCTCAGACCTTAACCTGCCTGGCCCGACTGTTTGGTCTCAGTCTGTACCACTAAATAAAAAGTAAACACGAAGCCTCCGGAAGCGTTTTTGCCCATCTGACTTACCCCCGGAGCACGCCTGTGCGCGTGGAGGGCTGTGGCGGCTCAGGACGGGTGCCTGGGACCCACCCACCCCTCTTATGCCAGGAACCGCCCCCATTCCCGCCCCTTTGTCTGCCAGGTCACTGAAAATCAAATCAAACTGCCTTAAACAGAATCGTTGATTGGTCCAGACGATGTAAAGACAAGTAAATTCCAATCAGAGGACCCAGGGTTTTATTCAATATTAAGTCTGTATTTTGTCCATTTTACTGACCATTTGTGACTCAGGTCAGAACTCGGATGAGAAAGAGGTGCCATTTATTGGGCTGCCTCTCACCCATGCTTGTTAGACCAGATGGTGATGCTGGGAGTCATTCATTCTTTGGGCCCCTGTGACCTCTCACTGTACCCCCTCTCCTCTCTGCCCCTGGCGCCTCCTCTCCCGTGCCCACCCTGGCGTGAACCTCCTTCCTAACCACTTGCCCTTGCGGAGGCTCATGGAGGAGACAGTCTGATGCGGTCACCGTGGACACTCACAGCTCGTCCCCAGTTCAGCTGCCTGCTGGGGGGTCCTGGCACTTCAGCGGTAGCGTCTAGTAGGAGACAAACTTTGCCCTCTGCCCAGGCTATGCCGTTCGCCACCAGACACTCGTAGAGGAGCCCTCCCTGTGTGGGGACGCCCCGAACCACCAGATCTAAAGCTTGTCCTGTGCTGTGTTACTCCAGGCAGGAAGCAGGCCGCTGGCAGAAACACCTGCTCCATCCCCTCAGAGAATGACAACTGCGGGAAGGCCGTGTCCTTGACCAGAAGAGGACGGGCTGAGGGGAGCCCTTCTGACCGGAGGCCTCAGGGTCTCCACGTGGAGGGAGAGGCACGTGTTCCACTCTTGTTCCTTTTTGGTGGCACTGTCAGGAAAAGACGCCGGGCTCACCAGGATCCTTAGGCCGTGAATGTCAATCAGGAAGTGGGCTTCCCACCAGGGCAGCTCAGCGAACCTCCTGCACATGGGCCTGGCCGCCCGGTGGCTCCTCTTTGCAGCTCCTCTGCCCTCAGCTCATTGTCGAGGCCACAGTCTCTGCTGCAGCTCCTGATTTCAGAATGTGGGACTGAGGTGGGGAGACCCGCGGGTTCACTTTAAGGCCCCGTCCAGAATTAGCGATGTCTCCCGTTTGGATCTTAGTCTCAGGAAGTGGTCCCCCGGCTGCCCCTAACACAGTACACCTGGCTAGCAGCCATCGCTAAGGGGCAGAGCAGCTACTGGGGTAGCCAGGTTTCCCCAAATCAGAAGGCAGCCCTCACGTCCTCATACATGAGGACACCATGACCTTTGTCCCAAGGGAAATCAGAGAGACAGACTGTTGAGCCTCCGGCTTCAGGGAGCGCGCTGCGGGTCGGGACGCAAACCCGCTAGGCTGCACTCACGGCCCGCCGGCCTTCCCTTCGCCCTGCTTCACCTAGTGTGACAGCCTGTCCGGCTCAGTGGGGCCTGGCTAGGCTGTGGTTTCAGGGCAGCATTCAGCATCATGAACCACCTCTCCTCTAGAGTCTACATCGTGGGACAATGGCCCTTAAATAGACTGATGTGTGAAGGTGTGGTTTGCAGTTTTGCTGACCTGTGTTCCCTGAGGTGGCCTTTGAGGAGAGGCTGGGCCAGTGCGCAGTGATTATTAGTAGCAGAAGTTCCTGGGAACAGCAGGTGATTGTGGCCACACCCACCCAGAGGGCACTATGTGGCCTTTGACTCACAGGTCTGATGGAGATGGTCCTGCGGCTGACCGTGCATGTGGGAGAGGTTGGGGACTAAGGCCACCCAGGAATAACCCTTGGGAGATTCGGATCTCAAGCCGGGTGTGTTTTGAAAGGTCTTTAGGTGGTCTGGAGCCTCACATCCTGTTAGGGGTTGATTATATGCCCCCAAATTCATGTGTTGACGTCCTAACTCCCAGCTCCTCAGAACATGACTGGGAAACAGGGTCTCTGCAGGTGTAACTAGTTATGATGAGGCCACACTGGAGTGGGAAGGCCTCCAGCCTTGTGATTGGTGTCCTTATGAAAGGGGACCCAGACATGCACAGGGAGATGGCCGCATGGAGATGGAGCAGTGACTGGACGATGCATTTGCTAGACGAGGAGCCGGAGATGGCCAGCAACACCCAGAAGCCAGGAGAGAGGCCTGGGACAGAGGCCTGGGATGACTCCCTGTGCCTCAGAAGGAACCCGCCCTGCTGACAGCCTTGATCTTGGACTTCGGCCGTGGAACTGGGGGAGTACAGAGTTCTTCTGTTGAAGCCACTGGCCTGAGTACTCCGGGTGGCACCCTGAGCTAGCAGACAGACAGCCTGTGATGCTGACCTTGATCATGTGAACCATTCCATCCAGGGGTCCACAGGTGCAGTGCAGGGGCTCCATCACCTGCTCAAGGCAACGGTGGGCTCTCAGCACTTCTGTCCACGCTACTGGCCGTGGGCACATGCGCCTGCTCCCTCTCAAAGGTGACACCCTCCACATTCACCTGGAACAGCGCCTGTGTTGTCACAGGCAGCCCAAGCCAGCCCCAAAGGCTTCAACAGCATCAGATGACTTCCGGGCCACTACCTCATCTCCCATCTGTGCACAAGAGATGCATTGTTCCTTCCTCTGCCTTCAAACTGAATGAGCATCTGTGAAGCATCTTTGTTTCCCACATGTGAATAGGTCCACTATGCCGGCCTATGTTGGGGGGAGGGGGGTAGACAAGCCATTTGCAGGGGGTTTAATGTGATTGGCTGAGGGCCTTGATGAGGCTCCTCTGCCACTTTCCTTTGAGGCCCAGAAGAGTCGTTGGAGGCTGCAGAACCCTGGCCCAATGGATCCCAGACTGGGAAGAATGGTGAGTAGACCCCTAATGCTCAGAGTCTAGGGGACCAGGGCTAGACGTTGTTTGCTTGAAGAGTGTGTGCCAGCCAGGAGAGCAGAGCAGATGCCCGCCCGCGTGGTCCCTGAGATGCTCTCAGCACTCACCACCTCAGCCCGAGGGACAGGGTGTTTGCAAGTCCTTCATAGCTATGCTCTGGGCGGTGCCAATCACGAAGCATTGTTTTCGAATAGCGGACGTAGTGCCTGAATGCAGTTCGGCTGGGTGAACAGTGGGGTCTGGGTGTGCACCCAAGGCCTCGGCAGCCTCTTAGGCGGCATGAAGTGGGGTGTAGTTGCAGCACACTTTTCCATACTTGTTTTTTCTTCCCACAGAAAGCAATTAAAAACAGAGCATAACTCTTAGCTCCTAAAAGCAAAAGGAAAGGCACAACTTCAGGAAGATTTGGAGAATCATACACATCCAGGCACACTTTGCTGCCTTTCTCACTAAAACATGAACTCTAACCCTCCCACTCAAAACAACGTGAGTAGTCTCGGGGTGGAAGCCCAGGAGTCTGAATTTTCAAGTGTAAAATTCAATGATTTTTAGTATATCCACAGATGTGTGCTGGCTTTAGAATATTTTCATCATCTCCAAAAGGGACCCTGTCCCCTTAGCAATCACGTCCCCCTTCTCCTATGCCTGCCCCAGCCCCCAGCGAGCACTCATCTGCTTGTATTTCATCAAGGCCTCCCGCATAGTTAATAAGAAGCATTTTTAAGGAAACATAAATGAAGGTTAATGATTAGAACGCACCCAGAGGGCCGTCAGTCAAGAGGCCGGGTGTTGGCGTGAAGCGCCCTCAGATGGTGGAGTCGGGGCGGTTCTGGTGCATTCCCGGCTTGTGGCTGAAGCGCCTCTGGTGGTGGCCTGGGGTGTGTGGCGGGCAGGCCGAGTGGCCCACGCAGCAGCAGGCAGGATGGGTGTGGCCTCTTGTGATTTCTCTGAAGTTTATGGCAAGTCACTCGGCTTCAGTTTATTGGCCTTTGGGAAAAAAGCCATTTTAGTTTTATTTCTTAGTGATTCCAAATCAAAAGGATGGGAGAAAATTGGAAACATTAGTTTGGAGAGTTGTAGCCAGGCATTGGAGAAGCCAGAAGAATTCAGGACCCAGGGCCGTTAACAGACAGATTAAAGAAACCTCAAAGGCAGCAAGTAGGGCCAGCATCTGATAATGGGTGCACTGCAGGGTTTTACTGAAACATGATTTTTCTCTCTACAGTTGCCTCCATTTCTATCATATATAATCACATAAGATTAATTTGTAAAGTAAGTCTAGTCTTATTACACTTGGCCTGATTACTTACATAAGCGTAGCAAGAAAAGAGATGGCCATGTAGGCTTTTTTAAGTTGCTTTATTGGAACTTTCAATAAGGAATCTCATTAGTCATATTACATATTAGTCAGTAAGGAATCTCATTGATCATATTAGACTTTGAAAGTCTAATATGTTTGACTTTCCCCTGTAGCCTAGGAAGCCAAGCCAAGGACTCACCCTTAGAGTCATCACTGGGCTTGCCTGTGATACTATAGCTTTGGCTGGTTTCCTGTCTTCTTGAGGTCCCCAGTGTATTTTGAGGTTCCTGGGTCTGCCAGAAAGTGACTTGCCTTATTTACCTGTAAAGCTGGGAATCCGGTAAGCAAGGTGCCAAGCTAATTTTTTCAGGGGGCTTTATTGGCCTGAGAAAGTCAACTTTAGTTCCTTAAAACTGTCCAGTCATATCTGATGCTATGCATATCGTTCTCAGCTATGACATTCTAGCCAAGGCCTTAGCGAAATAACCAAATGTTCTCAATTATGTCCCGTTTTAGGAGAACAGATTCTTACTTAACAAATGCAATTGCATATATATGAACTACCATGCCATAAAAAGAAAATAAGAGTGCTCAAAAGAGTTTACAAATTCTGGAGGGTTTAGGCAGGGAAAAAAATGTTTCAATTCTGTTTACAAAGATAGAATTTATCAGATTACTGTAAGTTATAGAAAGCTTAAGAAAAAGAGAGGAAAGGATTTTCCTTAACTGTATTCAACAAAATATAAGGAACCAGCAATATTTCAAACAAAAAATCACAAAAGTTACCATCATCCTCA